TTTTAAAGATTTTTCAATTTTTTTAAAAATTTCAAATCCTTATGCAACTGTGATAATTTATTGGCATAATGCTATTATGATGTAAACCTCATTAAATACTTTCCTACCCGGCTTGCTTAGGGTGGAGGATGGTGTAATAACATCAGAAGTTGTGTCTTCAGAAAAACTACTCGTCGTGGTTCCTCAAAATTCATGGAAAAGCAACTAGCATTCACAGGGATATTAAGCAACAAAGCTGAAGAAAACCCTGGTTTTTGTCTTTACCTTACCTTACAAATGCATGCATTATTTTCTTCTGAGATTACAGGATTTTCTTACTCGAGTCTTCTGTGTTCTCATTTTTACGGATATTTTCGTGTGACAGATTTCTTTAACTGGAACAGAGTTAAAGTACGGTACTGTGATGGGGCATCTTTCAGTGGAGATAGTCAAGACGAGGTTAGTGAGAGTATGAAAAAGTATAATAGTATATATTTTCCCCTTCTTATGTATATATATACTTATTGAAACATTCAGTCAATTAATAGCCACTTGAAGTAAGTAAGCAGAGCTTTGCTATTTATTTTGCGTATCGTCTGACTCATCAATGGCAAAGAAGCAAAGTTTTGTTTCCTTGCAAGAGTGGGAGAGTCAAAAACTATGGTCCCAGTGTTAGTTCATTCTTCCACTCATATATGCCATGTTTGCATCTCTTGAAGGCAACTTTTGTGACACCATGTTTCATAGTGTCAAAATTGATTTGCTTTTAATGAAAGAAAGTAGACATGCTGACATGTCTTTTTTTTTTCAAATGTAGTCATACTGACATACTGACACAATGTGTGTTACTGAGTTGTGAATTTTCCAACGTGTGTGTGTGTGTTACTGAGTTGGTTGCACACGGAAATATTCTGAATTTATGTTTATATTGTAATGTGAATTTGTTTCAGGCTGCACAGCTTCAATTCCGAGGACAAAAAATCTGGCAAGCTGCAATGGAGGAATTATTGTCAAAGGGGATGAAGAAGGCCAACCAGGTTTACCATGTCCCTTTTGTCGCAATAATCAATCTTCAATATCCATGGATGCTAATTAATTCTTTTTATCAGGCTCTTTTGTCTGGATGCTCTGCTGGTGGTCTAGCGTCTATAATACATTGTGATGAGTTCCGGACCTTATTTCCTACATCCACCAAAGTGAAATGTTTGAGCGATGCAGGGTTTTTCCTAGATGCGTAAGTTTTGTATTGTTTTATACTGCTACAACTAGCCCACAGCATCAGCAGAGCTTGATATAATTGATTATCTGTTCAATCATGTAGGGTTGATGTTGCTGGGGTTCGGACAATGAGGAATCTGTTTGGAGGTGTAGTTAAGTTACAGGTAATGTTTGGTTCAAGCATGGGATAAACTTTCTTGTTACAGATTTACTTATTTTATATTAATTTCAGAAACTATGTACAAGTATGCCGTTACACTGATGTTGTTGAAACTGCAGGAAGTGCAAAAAAATCTTCCAGAAAGTTGTCTCAAGCAATTGGACCCAACTTCGGTATTTTTCTATTTATTTTGAATGTCATGCTGTCGATAACTTGAAATTGTAAAACTTGCAAATTTTAAACATAATTTTTCTTTTTGTAGTGCTTTTTTCCTCAAAATTTGATCAACCATGTTCAGACTCCATTGTTTCTACTCAATGCAGCTTATGATTCATGGCAGGTGATATTAACGGATACACTCTTGTAATTTTATGTTAATAAAGTGCCTGATTATGTGTGTATAAGCTTGTATCTCTTCATTTGTCCTCAAAATGCTATGGTATGGATGCTATGGTTTCTTGTTTAACTAATTTGTGGTCTATGATTTTCCTGTTTCAAACGTTTCTAGTACTGTCAAGAATTTTTTCTACTCCTCTTTTTTTAGTACAGGAAAAATAATTTTAATTTGGACTCTTACCAATGCCCAATCCACAGTAAAAGCCTTGGCCCTGTAGGCAAATTGAATTCATCCATCATTCAGTTAATTAGTTTTGAATGTTAAGTTATTTTATGCTTAAGCAAAAGTCCATAGGGTAAGCTAAGCAAGAAACATATATTCTCTGGGATTATCGATGAATACCCTGTATGTACCTGTGGCAACCTGATTAGAACTGAATTCTTTATGATATGGACTAAATCTGTCTTATTTCTTCCTTTAGGTCCAAGACAGTTTGGTCTCTGGTTCAGCAGATCCCCATGGCTCTTGGAATGATTGTAAACATAATCGTGCACTCTGTAACTCATCTCAAATTCAATTCTTCCAAGGTAACTTGATCTCTAATGTGAATTTCTATATTGCGCGTAGCAATTGATGCATATCTACAATCATCTGATTTCATTGAAATATAATATAATATAATATATCTCTTCTCTGAATCAGATTTCAGAAATCAAATGCTAAACTACATCAAAGGCTTCTCAGGGGAATCTCGTACCGGGTTATTCATCAATTCTTGTTTTGCTCATTGCCACTCTGAATTACAAGATACTTGGTTTGCTGATGACTCTCCAGTTATTGGCAATACGGTATGCATGATTTAGATTTCTATGCTTCTAAAACTGTGCTGGTGGAATACGTTAGGGTTTTCTAGACTAACCTTTTCTTTTAATTGGGAGAGTTGAAAAGACGCAGTGAGAGACCATGTAAGGAGATTCCAAAAAATCTTGATAGGAATTAAAAACTATGGCATCTCTATGGTTCAATCTTGTCTTTATATGAAGCAATGGTTCATTTGCAATCAAATGCATGAGGCTGCCATTTCTGTATAAAATAAAAAACAGTAGAATGATAAAGATTTAGAGTTATATGCGGATAAATCTTCTGTATATCTAGAATCATTGACTAATTACCGGATTAGTTCAATATTGTTGAAATGTTGACATAAACTTTTTTTCACTTTCCATCCATGTATTCATGGTTAAACGTATGACAATATAGTTTGACCCTTTCATGAAAAGGAAAACAGTCATTAAAAATATACCTAGCCTTCATTTTGATTGCAATCGCTTGTTCTGCTCAGGTCTAAGACAAAGTGAAACTAATGCCTCTGGGTGAAATTATTCACTATTTACTGTTCTTACAGAAAAGTTATCTAATAAGTTGATATTTCTTTTCCTGCAGCCAGTTGCAACTGCTGTTGGACAATGGTATTTTGATCGGAAAACTGTCAAAGCTATAGACTGTCCTTACCCCTGTGGCAAGACCTGCCATAATACGGTCTTCAAGTGAGTGAAAGTTTACTGATTTTTCATTTGGCAATTTGATATTTTATCAATGTAATCACTGTAATTGCCATATGTGCGTGTAACATTGCTCAACTGTAATGAAAATAAATATAGTTCTTGATTGAGGCTGCAATTAGTTAGATCGATCTGCTTATAAATAAGTCGTAAAAGATTTCTTTCGACTAAAAACCTAAAATTAGTAACTGAGCTTGTGCTTCTGCTGCTACCTTTTGAATATTGTCAATATTTTCTCGTACTAATACCCGGCAGGATCTATGTCTTAAGGGTGTTTTTCCCTTTTAAACTAATCACACCACCTTTCAGGGTTCCTTTAAAGTGAGAGATTGATGTTCGTAAAAAGAAAAGATTAAAACATGATTCCTGAAAACATCAATTTCCTGATAGGATTCTACGTATGATAAACTATGATACATCTCATTGTAGAAATTAGGTAAATGGAATAGATCTTGGTTGCGGTATTCGTTGTCTGTCTACATGGAGAATTCCAATGTTTCGTGCCCTGCTATTATTTTCTTTTAGCCTCATAATCCCAGAGTAACTCACTGTTGTTAAGTCCTTTCCACCATTACCATCATGTCCTGACTGCGTAGTGACACACTGACAATGTCATCTGCCGAGGAAGAAAAATCATT